AGAGGTGCTCTGCTGGGCGAGCGGCGGTTGGCATTTCAGCACCAGGGCGGTGCGGACAGCAACCCCGGCGCCTCCGCCTTCCCGGCCCGCCGGCATCTTTATCCGCGGCCCTTTGAGCGCGGCTCCCACAGCCACTTCCCTTCCCCCGGGGGCCGAGGGCCTCAGCGGGACAGGAGCACCGGCTTCTGGAGGCGGAACTTCCTCCGGCCTCCCCTTACCTGCCAAAGACCCAGAGAGCCAGCCAGATGACAGCCCTTTGGCCCTTTCCCACCTCCCGCCGCTCGCTCGCGGTTGTCCCTTGGGGCGGCCCAGCGGGAGGGCTCCCCCCTACACTCACCCGCATCTGCCCCGCACCGTCCCGGAGACATAAACGCGGCGGCGGCCCAGGAGAGCCACGACGTGGTTCCTTTATTGTCGCGCTCTACCCGCGGTTGCTTTGTGCAAACATAGGTAACTTTGATTTGGCGCGGGGGCGTCCTGCCCCCATTGGATTGCCCAGATGGCTTCGGGCTTGGCCGACGGATCAACTCGCTGCCAAGCTGGCCGAGAAAATATTTGATGAGCAAATAGTGGGGCCAGGAATCTCTCCTGCGGCCCAGGTGCCCAGCAATTGACCCTCATTACTGCCCCCCCAACCGCCCCTCCCGCCAGGGTTCTCCACCGAACAGGCTGCCTCCCAGGCGACCATCTGGCCCCAATTACATATTAACCACGGAGCCCTCCCGCCTCGCCATCCCCGACGGCCGCCGAGAGTCGCAGCACCTCCCAGTCTCTGTCTCGCCTTGAACCCGCACGAGTGCGGAGGGGAGGTTGTAGGCCGAATGGCTCTCGAGCTTTGGAGCCTCCCACCCTTCCTTTGCCAAGGGGCGGGGGGCAGCGGAGGAGCCACACAACGTGGGAGCCCAGTGCGCGCAAGGATGCTCAGCGTAGTTGGCAACCGCCGGGAGCGGCTTCTTCCTCGCCTGTCCGAGGACCAAGTTGCTGTAGCCTTTAGCCCCCGTGTCCTCCCTCAGAGGAGCTGAGTCTGCGCCGGATCCAAACCGGAGATGAGGATGGCAGCATCCCCTCTCCCGGGGTGGGATCTGAAATCCCGGTTGGGTGTTGAGGTTCCTCCAGGGCGCACAACAGGAGGCGCCTCCCTGCTTCTCTCTCGCTGAGCAAAGCTGATCCAGTGAAACCCACGCCTAGAAGACGCCCCCACCACCACCACCCCCGCCTCAGGCAGCCCTTCCTAGTTGGGCTGTAGCGTCAGACCTGAGGGGCAGCTCAGCTGTCCTTTTGCCAGCCTCTTTAGCCGGGAGTAGGAGAAAGATGTGCGCTCTCCGAGCAAACTCTGAGAGGTGGCTCCCACGGAGGATTCCTGCCAGGGAAAAGTGGGCGGAATCTGGCAGGCAGAGAGGAGCCAAGCACAGGACTCCGGAAATCAACAGAGAAGTGAGGGGGAGTCTGGGAGTGGAAAGGAAGGCAGGAAGGAAGGAAGGAAGAAAGAGGGCTGGGTGCAGCAAGAGGGAGAAGCGGGTGACAGAGTCCAGGCTCTTGGGAAGGGAGCGAGCAGGGCACCCAAAGGCTACACTCTGCTTGAGCAAGGAAGAGCCACCCCCCTTCTGCTTGGCACTTAGTGTTTACAGCTACAATTCTGCCCTTGGGGGTCTTCCTGAGGAAACGGAGCCTGTGCTGTTGGGGAGCGGAGGGACTCCCTAGGGGAGATCAGGGGCAGGCGGATTCTTTCCCACGCGGTAAGAATGGCCAGCAAGCTGGGGGGGGGGGGGAGTTACCCTCCAAGTGATCCACTCTCTGTGGAGATTTCCCATTGGCTGGGTAGCATGAACGGCACGAGTCCCCTGCTCGTGGGCTTCCAGGGGACACTGAATCAGAAGGAAACCCCCCTCCCATCCAACTGTAGCCCTCTTCGTCTCATCCAATGGTGCACTTGAAATCTCCGCAAAGCTCACTTAATTTGCAGTATGCAGGAAAGTCACACCGCCCTGGGGAGGGATTGTATAACCCTCCTTAAAAGCCTCCAGGGCCAGAGGACCCACCGCCTCCTCAGAGAGAAGATGCGTCGTTGGACAGATCTTACTAGCGGGAAGACTTTTCCTTAGTCTGCGGATCTGGTCCAGGGGCTGTTGCTCTTCCCTGCAGCAGTCAGACGAGTCTCCCCCTCCAGCTTCAGCAGCCGATACCCTCCCCTACTAATTCTCTTAGGAGCCACAACCTTGGAGGCGGGGGTTCTAAGCCGGCCCCCTTTCAATCCGCTCCAGCTTGTCCTCCAGCAAGGAGGTATTTATGTGTGGAAGGACAGTTTGAGCCACCAGCTTCCCCGGCTAGCCTCCCCTCGCCTCCCCGGGACCCGCTGAACTGGACAAGAAGCCAGAGCCTGTACGGTCTGCGGCTCACGTTTCCCGGCCTCGCGCGCGGTTCTGGGGACCACCAGGGTTTGGATTTGGCATCGCCGGACTCCTGCTCCCCCGGCTGGACCTTGCCTGGGCGCCGGCCTTGATCCCGCATCCCAGCAACCACGGAGGCGGTTGGGCTCCAAGGAAGTAGGCGAGTCGGGGCAAAGCCTCCTGCGCGCTGCACTGCAGCCCTTCGGCTCCTCCCCATGCCCTCGGCCAGCGCCCTTCTCTCAGTCCCCGAAGGCAGCAGGCTCGTTTGGAGGAGGCGCTCGGGATTGTTCCCGAGGGGCGCTTCGGCACGAAGGAAGAGAGCTGAGGGAGCGCGCGGGGCCCCCCAGTCGCTTCAGTGGCCGCAGCAGGGAGCGAGGGCGGCGACGGAGAGGACTTCCCTATCTTTGCCCTTCCCGTGCCCGGCCAGAGCAGGAGACCTCCTGCTCCCTGGCCAGCAGCCTTTGCCCCCCCCCCCCCCCCCCCCCTGGAGCATTCAGGAGACTGCGGTAGATTACGAACCGGCCTTTGGGAGTGGGGAGCAGGAAAGGGGCTTCCCGAAAGCCTTGTGGGGCTGATGCCAGAAAGTCCAGCGGAGTGGAAGTCTTCAAATCAAACAGGGATTCAAACAGAGCAAGCAGCAACTCCTTCCCCACCCCCGAAATATGTGACAAAGTCCTTAGGAAAGGCTGCCTTGGTGACCCAACCCGTCTTCGCTCTCTCACACAGCACTGAAGCACAAACCTTTCCTTCTGGCTGCCTCTTCCGGATTTTGCCACTGGGACAACCTCGCCACACTCCCCCTCCCACAGCAGAACCTCCCCCTCCTCTGAGCCTTCTGGAGACCCAACTGGGGCAGGTGTTACCTGAGGGCAGCATCGGCACAGACACTCCGCTCTGTTGCCCCGAATAGGAAAGCCAGTTCTCTCCCCACCCCACCCCACCCCACCCCAGATGATTGAATGGGGCCAACGTTGCCCCAAGAAAGCCAGGGAGCCAATATCAGGCTCCAGTGAAAAGCCCAGGCTAAGCCCACTCCATGCGCCCTGAAGGAGTTTCTGCAGGCTGGAGGCATTTGAAGGGAGGGGCAGGACTCCTGTGGTGTCCTCGATGCTGCTGGTGGCAATGATGGTGTCACCCAGATTGGTAAGGAAATGCCTTGAAGTCCAGAGAGCACCCAGAACTCCACAGGTCAACTTGGGCTGGAGTGACTTGGGCTCCTGGGAAGGAGACCATCAGACCCTCCTACACTGCGGTCCTAGACTGCGTTGGGGGCGGGGGGCGTGGCTGTTGGTCCCCGTTTGCATGGTTGGCTCAAGAGCTGGGGAAGGAGAGCCTTTGAGGTCAGCGCATTTCTATGCAGGAGAAGTCTCTTTAACGACGGGGTTCGTTGATTCGTTCAATTTATTTGTGCCTATCTCTCTATATGGCTTACATCAATTAAGACAAAAACACAAGTAAAACAATAAACAACGGGAAGGAAAACACACAGAATATACCAATAGCCGGACCAAAAGGTGGGTGGGGGGAGCAGAGAGCAGGAGGGGGGAGGGGGAGCCTCCTGTCAATTCAGCAGCCCCCTCGGGGTGCCCCCCCAACCGGCCCCAGGCAGAGCAAAGGGCGGGGGTCCCCAAGGGAGGCTCTTCTTCTGGGTCCCGGGGGGGAGGTCGGGCTTCTTTCACCGGCGGCCCCGGCAAGGCGCCCTCGTCCCGGCGGGGCCAGGCGGTTCATCGGGTAGCCTGCAGCTGAGCCGATCGGGGCTTTCGGGGTCCAAGGCGGAAACAGGCGGCGAGGGTCGCGGAGTCGAGGCCCTCCTTGCCGCTCCCCTCCCCGCCTCCTCTGGCCCGGGGGCTGCCAGGGAGCGAGCGGAGCCTCTTCAGGGGGGAAACTCGCCTTTTACGCTTGCAAAAGTGTGGAAGGAAAACCCCCAATTTGCAGCTATGAAAGCAACGCAGCCGCCGCCGCCGCTCCCGGGGCGCAGCCGGGATGGGAGCCTCCTCGCGGGGGACACGGGCGCCCAGGAGACGCAGCCGGTCAACGGGGGGCCCTTCGGGGCGGGGGGGACGCCGCCCCCTCCCCGATGCGGAGCCTGGGGGGGGCGTGCGGGAAGCGGGTCGGGGGGCTCCCCTCAGGGAGGGTCGGAGCGCTCGAGGGAGGGGCCCCCGTTCGCCCGCCCCCCCCCCCCCCCCGCCCCCCACCGCGGCCGGTGGCGCTTCCGCCCCGGCGGGCCGCCCGGGGGCGGGCGAACCACCCCCCCTCCCGCCAGAAGGGCCCCCCGCGCCGGCCACGTGCACCGCCAGGCCTCCCCCGCCCCTCCGGCCGGGCTTGGCGCACGCGCGCTTCCCACGTGGCCCGCCGCGCGTGCCGCTCTCTGCCTACGTGTCCTTCTGGCGGAGTGACCCGGAAGTCCTGCCTCCGCCGCCGCGACGCTTCGGTTTGAACACGCTCCGTTCCCTCGCTGGCCGCCTCCCGGGGTGCCGATTGGTTGGCCGGGCGCCCGTGGGGTGGGGCGCCGGAGCGCGCCGGCGGATTGGCTTTCCCGCGAGAGGGGGCGGGCCCGCCGGGTGTGCTGCGCGTGCGCCGGGGGGCGGGCCCGGCTAAATACCCAGCCGCCGCTCCGCCCCCTTCCTCCCTCCGCTCCCCGGACGCCGCCGCCGCTTCCTCGGTGCCGCTTCCTCTCGCGGAGACCTTCACCGCGACCCCCGGCGCCATGGCTTCCTCCGCCGGATCCGCCTCCTCCTCGGCAGCCGGCTCCGCCCAGGCGCCCGTCCTCCAGCGCGGCATCGTCAAGATGGTAAAGGGCTCCTGAGCGCGTGCAGAGCGCCAGCGGGGGAAGCGGGCGGCGGCCCGGTCCCTGCACAGGTCTTGCCGGGCCGCCGACGCCAGCCCGACGCCTTCAGCCGGGGGAGACCGGGAGGACGGCGCTTCTCCTCTTCCTCCCGGTGGGCTGCGCCGGGCAGGCGGGGCTGGTCGGTGTGGTCCCGGCGTGCCGGTGTCTTGGCCGCTCCGGCTTCCCCCTTCAAAGCCTGCGCGGCAGGCAGAGGTGGGTGGGGGCACGGAGAACTCCCACTGCCCGCCCCCCCCCCCCCGCCCACCGCTGTGGCAATGTTTCCCCGCGGAGCGTCTCTGCCTGGGCGCTGGGCCTCCTGCCGCAGCCGGGTCTCCGGGGCAGCCTTCAGCCAGGGGGGCCGGTCGCCCGGCTGGCCCGAGAAGGCTTCTTCAGCCTGGCTCTTAGGGCGGGGGCATTGGCAGAGCGGCAGGGGGCACAGCTGCCAGGGCTGCTATTGCAAGATATGGGGAGGGGAGGAGGGCTGGGCGGTCTCCAAATGGCTCTGGCTGAAGGTGGGAGGCTCCCTTCTGCTCCTGTCCAGGAGGGCTGGGTGGGAGGTGGGGGAGAGTCCCCTGGGGGCTTCCTGGTAATAAGGGGGGGGGGGGTCGGTGGGTCTTGGCTGCCCCTCCTAATGCCTGCCTGCTTTCTTTCCTGCCAGGTCCTTTCGGGCTGCGCCATCATCGTCCGGGGGCAGCCCCGGGGCGGCCCACCGCCTGAAAGACAGATCAATCTCAGCAACATCCGCGCTGGGACTCTGGCACGCCGAGCAGCTGCAGGGCAGCCCGATGGCAAGGACACCCCTGATGAGGTAGGGTCTCCTCCCCTGGGCTTCCGATGCCAGCGCCTCAGCTCCTCTGTCTCCCCCACCCCCCAGCTAGTCCTTGGTAGCTTCCAGTCTGGGTCACCATCGGCCATGGCCAACTAATCGGTCCTGGGAGCCAAAGGACGTTTCTCCCCACTTGGAACTCCGGGGCTCAAAAAGCATGCCAACTCCTGCCCCGGCTGAGTATCCTGCGGCGGCGGCTGCTGCTGCTCCCGAGGCCCCTGCCCTTAAAGTGCCCGGAAGAACCCTGTGGGTGCCTGGCGATGTGCCCCCCCGATGTGCCCCAAGCAGGAGCTTGGACCATCTGCTCCCCCTGGCCCACTAATCCCCCCCCCCGGCAGTCCCCTCACAAACAGAAGGCTGAGTTGGGTATGTAGCCCCCTCCCATGTTGCACTGGGTGAGGGACCCAGAACCCTTGCCCCCCTCAGCCAGCCAGGCCCGCCTGCTCTCGTGTTGGGGCCGAGGAGGCCATTGCCGTAGGCAGTGAGGCCGGAGGAGGGGCCCCAGGCCCGGCAGGGGGAGGTTGCCCACCGGGGTGTGTGTGTGTGCGTGCGTGTGTCAGCTTCTTTTCCTGGGCCACTCTGCCTAACCTCTTGCTTTGCCAGCCGTGGGCATTTCCGGCTCGTGAGTTTCTGCGGAAGAAGTTGATTGGTAAAGATGTTTGCTTCTCCGTGGACTACAAGACCTCTCCCCGGCGGGAGTACGGCATGGTGTACCTGGGCAAAGGTGAGAGGCTTCCTCTACTTGGGCTGGCCCTCCCGGGGCCTTCAGTGCTTGCCAAGGTTTGGGGTGGGCTGGCCTTCTTGCTGGGGCTCCTAGAGCAGCCGTTCTTGAGTCTGTGGTTAACATGTTACGGCTAAGGCCAGGCTGCGCCTTTTTGGTAAACCCCTCGGCAACCGGTGGTCCGAGCCCCAGTGTCTGTCCTGGGCAGGAATGCGCTCTCCCCATGGAGTGGGCCTGCTACTTGCACTCTCCTCTGTCCTGCTTAGAAAAAGTTGGCAGCTGCCGGGGGGGGGGGGGCTTAGAGGGTCCAGATAGGGGTACGTGGTTGGGCCCCCCGAGCCTGCCCTGTGGGAGGCGGCCCAGAGGCTCCAATGAGCCAGGAGGAGGCGCTGGCCATACTAAATGGGGAGCCGTTGCTGTGTGGAGTGCCCAGCTTGGAGGGTGGGCCGTTCCTTGTGGAGCCCATTGGGCACCGTCTTGCCTATTTGGTTTGGGCATCCTGGCAGACCTTATAACGGTATCGGCAGCCTCCTCTAGGGTGGCCCTGAGGTCAAGAGTAGGTTCCTGGGCCCCTCCTTGTGTCCTGAGAGGCACGGATGCCTCTTTAAAGAGAAAATGGGCTTTTAAAAATGTAATTGTGTTTGATTTCTGGTCTGTGCATCCCCCAGAGTCCTAGATCAGCCAACCAATGCAGCCTATCCTTCAAGCGTCGGGCATTGAACGCCTGGGGGGCAGCCACGCCAAGCCCCACAGCAGTCAGCCTGAGATGTGCTGGGCAGGCTGAAGGGGAGGGCCCCCCGCCTGCCAGGCTCTAGGGGCTGAGAGGGCGGCTGGAAGGCCCTGTAGCTTTGGCCTCTCCAGAGGGCCCAGCAAAGGCAGCCCATTCCGCCCTGCAGCAAACGGGGCCTAAGGGGACTCGGGCACCCATTCCCCTTGGGCCTGGTGACCACTGTGACACCTGGTGACGGGCGCTGGGCTGGCTTTGGTGGCAATGGTGGGAGCCTCCGGCGTGGCTTGCCTCCTGCTCCCCTCCGCCTCCTTAACGCTGCGCTCTCAATTGCAGACACAGCCGGGGAGAACATTGCCGAGTCCCTGGTGGCCGAGGGGCTGGCCTGCCGCCGGGAAGGGATCCGAGCCAATACGTAAGTCTGCTCAGAGCCTTGTGCCTGGCGGTGGCGGCTGGGGTGGTGGGGCAGGGCCTTGCTCCTTTGCTGCCCAGTAAAGCCAGAATCCGGCCCTAAGAGGAGGGGCCTCCCGGCAGGCTGGCTACCGGGAGTGCCGGGTGAATCGGGGCTCTGGGCAGCTGGACTGTCAGCGCTGCCTACCCTCTGTTGGGAGCAGCCTTTGGGCTTCTGATCCACCAAAGGGTCAGAGGAACCCAAAGCCTGGAAGGTCACGGGGGGGGGGGGGGGGGGGTCAGGCAGGACTGTCTATAGGTGATTTGCCCCCAAATTCTGGATGGATTGCAGCAGCTGCTGTTCCGGAATGGTCAGAGAAGGGGGGTGGGCTAGCTGGCTGGCCAGGTCTTTGTTAGGCCCTTGGCAGAAGTGTGGTTTGCATCCCATCACACACACACACACACACACACACATACACACAGAGGATTCTACCAGTTCACACCTATTTGCTAGAACCGGTTGTTAACATTCTAAGCAGTTGGGAGAACCGGTTGTTAGAAGAAATTACTGGCCTAATCCTGTAAGGAAGGCAGGAAGGAAACATTCTGGTGTTGCTTACAGAAACTGCCTCTCCGTTAACCCTTATTACATTCTTGGCAGGACTAGACTTCCTGGCTCTGGAACTTCTCTGGAGTTTTTCCCCCCTCATTTGCTGGTACTTTGCTTGTGTGGAGTGACCATTCAAAGTTACAATGGCACTGAAAAAAGTGACTCATGACCATTTTTCACACTTAACGACAGTTGCAGCATCCCCACAGTCATGAGAGACCAGGCGAGGAGATGCATGCCTCGATGTGAGTGATGTTGACTTGGCCACACCCAGTCAATAACATGACCACCAAGCCATGTCAACCCAGTCACATGACCACCAAGCCACGCCCACAGAACCGGTTGTTAAAATTTTTGAATCCCACCCCTGCACACACACATTGCGATGGGCGTCCATAGGTGGCCAGCAGTGATCTTGCTGGAGCAGCCCGGCTGCCAGCTTCCGGGTGGGCTTCCCGCTCTGCCCTGCCCCGCCCCCTTGAGGAAGTCTTGGGGGGCCCTGGGGGGCTAGCAGGCTGCAGAGTCTGTGGAGGGGGGTGCGTTTGGGAGGCAGCAGCCACAGCAGCCACCGCTGCTTCCGAGGAGGAGAGCCACCATCCAGGGTGGGTCTTCCCGGTGGCTGGAAGGGAGGTCTCCACCCCAAGGAGGCTGCTGGAGAGAGGGCTGAGCCTGTGAGCATCCCTAGTGCAAATCCATGCAGGAGCTCCCAGGATCATCCAGACTGGCTCCAGGGTCCCCTCCCACCTCCGGTCTAGGCACAAAATCTGCATGTCTGTTCAGTCACAATGTCCCCCATTGCTTCCAGGGTGCAAAATGTGCCTTTCCTTGTGTGGAGGACAGGGTGGAAGGCAAGGCCTAGTTCCACAGCACCTCCCTCCCTCCCCTCCGGACTCCAGACCCCAAAGGCCGAGGAACTTCACCGTCACTACTGCCTGGGGGGGCCAGCGCCCCCATTCCTGAGTTCAGGGAGCCTCGCTGGGAACTAGTCTGCGGGAAGGAGGAAGGAGGGGCTGCATGGGCCAGACCTGGTGGGGTCTCCCGCCCTCGTGTAAGGCATCCCCCCCCTCATGGAGGGCTTTCCTCCTCCTCCTAGTCCTGAGCAGAGCAGACTGGCTGAGCTGGAGGAGCAGGCCAAGACCGCCAAGAAGGGGATGTGGAGTGAAGGAACGGGGTCCCACACGCTCCGAGACCTCAAGTACACCATTGAGAACCCCCGGCACTTCGTGGACTCCATGCACCAGAAGCCGGTGAATGGTGAGTCCTCTTTTGCGGGGGGGGGGGGGGGGGGGGGGGGGGGGGGCGAGGGGGGGGGGGGAGGGAAGGGCCAGACCAGGCGCTGAGTGGTCTTTCTCTGCAGCCATCATCGAACACGTCCGGGATGGGAGTGTCGTCCGGGCTCTGCTCCTGCCAGACTACTACCTGGTCACCGTCATGTTGTCCGGCATCAAGGTCAGCCTCTCCCAGGGGTCATTGGAGTCCGGCCTCTGGTGGTCCACAGTGCCTCCTGCCCCCCCAGAACCCCAGCCCAGAGAAGAGCTCCCTTTGTCCTCTCCTGAGCCCTCCCTCCCTCCCTCCCTCCCTCTGAACGGTTTCTCATGGGGGGGGGGGGGGGGGGGGGGCAGGACTTCTCCTGTCTACTCTGGGTTGCCAGGTTTTGTGCCTTGCAAAGGGAGCATCTGGGCCCCCAGTTTATCCTGGTGCCTTTTCCAGCTTGTGTGAGTGTGTGTGAGTGTGCGTGCACTTATTAAATACATGTGCCCACCTCACCAGAGGTGACTCTAGGCGGCTTACAGGCATTCAATTAAAATGCACTATAAAACATGAAAGAAGGATCTTGGATTTAACAGTTCAATTAAACTAAGCAGGGTGGAGAGTCAGGGAGCCCAGCGTGTGCCCAAGGAGGAGGTAAGGCTATTCCAGTAGTCTCCTCCACTGGGGTCTGCCAGGCCTTCTAGGCCCATCGGAAGGCCCAAAGGGCGGGGGGGTGGGCACAGCCGAAAAGGTTCTTCCCTGGTCCCCAGCAGCTGGGATCCCTCTCGGCTGGAACGGGTCGGGCAGGTCAGTCCCACTGGGGCCAGCTGGTTCTTCAGGGAGTCTAGCCACGAAGGAGATATAAGTAACGCCTTGAACCGGATCCTGGCAGCCAGGATCAGCTCATGGAGAAGGAGGGGAACACGAAGGCCCGACCACGAAGCCCTGTTCTGCACCGGGTGGGCCTCTGTGCGGATGCTCTTCAAGGGCAGCCCCCCATCGAGCGCATTGCGGCAGGCCACACCTGAGTGGGCTGGGGCTGGAGTGAATGAGTGCAGGGAAGGACACAATGGACGCCCCACGTGAAGTTGTGCAAAGGCCCTCTTCGAGCAGGAGTCCCCGTCCAGGAGAGGCCCCAGGGGGCGGCCCCATCCAGAACTAGAAGTGATAACCGCATCCTGAGGTCCCTTCCACCCGCAGCCACTCAGCCTCGGGGGGGGGGGGGGGGGGGACAGTATCCCTTGGGGGCCGGAATGGAAATGCCAGCTGGAGGGCCAGGGGCTCCCTGTTGGCCGCTCATCCCATTGGGGTGAACGCTCTCACCCGGGGGCTTCCTGTGGCTGTTGAAAAGGAGCCAAGAGAGCCACAGGCCACGAAAGAGTGGCCGGGAGCCGGTCTTCTCACTCTCTGTCCACACCGGTTGGGACCGGCCTTGGAGAACGGAGCCAAACCGGGGCAGGACTGCACCACCCGGCCCTGATCCCCACAGCTGGCAGCGCGGCCGATGGTATCGAGGGCCCCATGCAGCTCACCTCTGTCCTGGGCTGCCCCCCAGCCCCATAAGACCTGCTCCAGGCAGCTGCTGCCCTCCTCCTGGGCATGGAGTTAGGAGGAGGGCTGGGTGAGGGTGGACATCGCTGGGCCCCTGTTTAGCGGAGCTGCCTTCTTCTGGCTGGGATTTCCCACCGCCTTAATGGAGGCTGGAGGGGCGTCCACTTCCAGGCAGCCCCCTGCCCCCAGGGGGGGAGAGGGGGGGTGGAGTCTAGTATCCCTGAGAGTGTGTGTGTGTGGGGGGGCATGCTTGGCATTCCCCCTTGTGGCATAGGCCCTTGTGGGTTCCCCTCCCTGACCTGGCTCCCCCCTTCCAGTGCCCCACGTTCAAGCGGGAAGCAGACGGCACGGAGACCCCCGAGCCCTTTGCGGCAGAAGCCAAGTTTTTCACAGAGTCGCGGCTGCTGCAGAGGGACGTGCAGATTGTCCTGGAGAGCTGCCACAACCAGAACATCCTGGGCACCATCCTGCACCCGGCAAGTGGGGGCGGGGGGCGCTGGTGATGGGTGGGGTGGGGGCTCTGCGGTGGCGTCCTTGGGGCACCCAGAGTCTCACTTTGGAGAGCGGGGGAGGGGCAAAGGCCCGCATGCAGCCCAGGCGGGAACCTTGAGGGTGTTTCATGCGGAGGAAAGGGGACCGGCGGAGGAGGGGCTCCTGGGCAGAAGAGCGACTGGAAAGTCTGCCTGGGCACTCAGCCAGGCTATTTGCTGGTCATCTTTAGGAGCCACTCAGCCCAAAATGACTCGGGCTGCATACAGGCCCAAAGCCCCGAGGGGAAGGCAGCCTGCAGTGCTGCCCCAAGGCTGGAGCTCTTTGATCCTCGAAGGGGCGGGTGCCACGGCGGAGAGGCCTCGGGTCTCCTAACGTGGCGGCAGCGCTTGGCAGGCGGCCTCTGCAGTTCCCTTGGGCCCTCGGGAGGAGAACCGGGGGGGGGGGGGGTTGCTCTGATGGGCAGCCGATGCCTGGACTGCGCTGGAGGCTGCCTCTGGGCCGACTCTGGGCCCCGGAACCGGCTGGCCAGCCAGCCGCTCCTTAGGCAGGTCCACCCTGCTTCCCACCTCGTTGTCCCTTCTCCCCCCCCCCCCCCCCCCCCCCCTTTTGCGGGGGGGGGGCTGCCTGAGAGGGGCCCTCTGCTGGAAGGGGGCTGGGGCTGTGGGGCTGCCTGGGAATGGGGGAGAAGGAGCGGTTGCCGAGTGTCCCTGACAGCCGCCTTCCCTCCCACCCAGAATGGGAACATCACGGAGCTGCTGCTGAAGGAAGGATTTGCGCGCTGCGTTGACTGGTCCATGGCCGTCTACACCCGGGGGGCAGAGAAGCTGCGGGCCGCGGAACGGTAATGCAGGCCCTCCTGCCTGGGGCTCTTCCGGAGGGCGGCTGCGCTCAGACCCTCGGAGGCCTCGGAGCAGCAACCAGCTTTGGGGTTGAAATGGGAGGCAGGGAGGGCTGCTTCCCCTGCACCCACCCCCAGGCGGGTTGGGTGGGGGACTGGGCCCTGCCTTAAATTGCTGCTTGCCTGACGCGGCTTCGCAGGCTCTTTCAAGGGGAGGCGCACACAACCTGCTGTGGTAGCTCTGCCACCTTGGGGAAGCGTTGGGGTCTCTCGCGGATGTACGCAGAATTGTTTGGGTTAGAAACGCTTGGAGTCTCAGCCAGTTGTAGTCGAGGTTTTCGACCTGGGGGGGACAGGACGGGACCATGTGGCACCTAGTTTGGACCAGGTGCTATTGGGGGGTTCAGGCAGCACCTCTAGGTGGGGCAGGAGGAGGAGGAGGAGGAGGAGGAGGGGCACTTGGTCTTGGGGATTTTTAGGCCTCTTCTCTCCTGAGAACCTGTCACCGGCACCCCCTGGGGGTGTCGGTGTGGGATGTGCGGCTGCGGGGGATGTGCAGGGTGCTTCCCAAGGCCCCCGTTCTGCATAAATGCTCAGCTCTCAGCCCGGAGGGAGGAGGCCAGGCAGCAGCTTCAGGTGGGCCCTGGGGCTGTGTCAAGCCTCCTGCCCGGTGTCTCTTTGGCCCAGGTATGCCAAGGAGCACAAGCTGAGGATCTGGAGGGACTACGTGGCTCCCACGGCCAACCTGGACCAGAAGGAGAAGCAGTTTCAGGCCAAGGTAGGCGAGACCTTCCGGAAGGGCCCTGCGAGCGATCGCTCTGGTGGGGGGGGGGGGGCGGGGCTGCTCCCTGGGGTTGGGGCCGGGAGGGGGGGACTGTCCGGTAGTAGCACCGGTCCTCTCCGTAGCCCCAACCTGCGCAGGTGCTCATGGCGCCCCCCCCCCCCCCCCCCGTGGCTGCCTGGCCCCACTGCTTTCTCAGGTGGCCGTGGGGACTTGGGTGCCCTGCCCAGGAACCCGGCGCTGCCTGAGGAAGCAGCGGGCCCAGGACGACGAATGGCTGCTCCTGTGCGAAGCCTCCCCCGGCTTGCAGAGGCCTGGGGCAGCTGGGCTTGTGCCCCACGCCCTGCAGGTGTTGCAGCCTCTGAGAAGGTCTGGTGCTGCGGAGCCCAAGGTCAGCTTGGAAACGGCCACGAGGTGGCGCCATTGCTGTGCCTGGCAGGGCAGAGGAGGCAGCCTGGCTGGCTGGACTTCCTGGAAAGCCCCTCGGCCTTCCAGAGCTCAGCCCCCCCCCCCCCCAACCCGGAGCTTCTGCTTGGGGGCTCCTGCCCGGGAGGGGCGGGCGAGGGAGAAGGAAGCTGGCATAGTCACCGGCGTCTGGGCCCTCCTTGGGCCTCTCCCTCCGGAGCCCTTTTCCAGCGGCCTCTGGCGGCCAGAGGTGGGGGTGGGGGGCTGCTGTCCTGCGCTTGGGGACCCCTCCTGCCTGCCCGAAGGTCAAGGGGCGTGTCCTTCTCCCCAGGGTTAACCCCCCTTGGCTCTCCTCGGTGGATCTGGCCCTGGGGAAAGGCAGCTGGAGAGGAACCGAGGGGAGGGGGGAATGTGGGCCTTGGGGAAGGGGTAGGGGTGGGGATCAGAGGAAGAGGCCTGGGAAGGACCCACCCTGAAGGGCTTCCTGCCTGGGTTGCCAGGAGGGGGGCCAGGAGCTCCCCCCCCCCCGAAAAAGAGCTGGTACCGACTGTGGCCCAAGGGCTCCACCGGGCAGCAGCCGAATGGGTGGCTGTCTCACTTGGCTCACCGCTTCCCAAGAAGGCCGGACTGCCTGGGACTCTCCTTCTGCACCCCCAAGAACCTTTCCGGGCAAGGGGGGAGCTTAATGCAGCCGCCAGCGGGTGGGGGGTGTGTGTGAAGGGGGCGGTTTCCAGCCCTTGGTTACCTGGGCTACTCGGTTGGGCCAATTGTGTCTGGAGGGAGCCTCCCCCGCAGCCCCAGGGTTGCCAGAGAGTCCCTGGGGGGCGTTGAAAGTAGGGCAGGCCTTCAGCCAGAAGGAAAGAGGAGGCTGAGGGTTAAATATATTCCAGGGCTGCTTATTTTTAGCCAGGCCCTGCAGGGTCGCCCGTAGGAGGTGAACGGGAGACGCGAACGAGTGAGCGAAGGAGCAGAGCCTTCCTGACAGGGGTGGGCAAAGACTGGCCAAGGAGGCTTCCGGGGGCCTTTCCTGAGGGCTGCCCAAGGGCCCGGGGCCTCCGTCTGGGGTGCCTTTGGTCGGCTGCAGCCGAAAAGCCCAACAAGGGCTGGTTGCGTTCTGAGGCTGCCGCTTCCGCTTGCCACCCTGATCTCGCTCTCTCGGCCCGGTTTACCCTCCGCAGCCCCAGGTTTAGGAGCCGGAAGTCTGCCCGTATCTCCAGTGGTGCCTGAAGGCAGAGATCGGGGGGGGGGGGGGGGGCCCGTGGGCGGGGGCAGGGGCCCCGCCCCCCTTCTGGGGCCCCCACTGGCAGTTCTGCCCCCGTTGGAGCGCCGGCTGGGCCGTGGTGGCAACAGCCCCGGGATTCCTTTGTGGGATCCATCCCGAAGGAGAGGTGGGCTCTCCCAGCTCCGATCCCAATTGCAGGGGGCGGGGGCGGAAGAGGGCCCTAGCGGGCCCCACATGGGGGGATTTGGAGGGGCCGGAAAGGCCAAGACAGAGTGCCGGCCCTCCAGGGCCTTCCAAGACCTGCCCGGTGGGATCTCGTCTTCCTCGGGCCTTAGCGAGACAGTTGGGGCCCCTCTGAAGGAGGAGACCCGGGGCAGCTCAGGAGAGGGTGGGGGGAGGCGCCCTGGGCCCCCGGCAGGGAGCGTGTAAGGGTGGCCCATTTCTGGCTGGGGCCCCTCCCCCGCGAAGGCACTCTGGGCTGCGCTTGGCTCTGGGCGGCCTCCCCCTCCTCTGACCCCGAGGCTCTTACGGCAGGCAGGGTGCTGATGGCTGGCCTCTCCTGTCCCCGAGCTCCCGTGTGCCCTGCCCTGCCCTCCTGCAGCCACTGGGGGCGGGGGGGCGCCTGCTTTCGCCGTTCTTTCCCCAGGGCTGCCCTGGGGCTGTGGGTAGGGGGCCCCTTGGCTCTGAGGCCTCTTGAGGTGGGGGGGGAGGGGGGCTGTAGCCAGGGAGGGAGCAAGGCCTGTGTGGCTGGTGATGGCTGCTCCTTTTGCCTGGTGGGGGGCCTCTCAAGGGAAGGGGGCGCTTTGGGGTCCGGCTTTCTGAGCTGCTGTGAGGCTGACCTCCTCTTGGCAGTGCTGGGAAAGGGCTGGCTGGGGGGGGGGCTTGGGGGGGCCAGGAACCCCCCCCCCCCCCGAGCTCAGTCCCTGCCCTCTTCCTCTCCCAGGTGGTGCAGGTGCTCAATGCAGATGCCATTGTGGTGAAGCTGAATTCTGGGGACTACAAAACCATCCACCTCTCCAGCATCCGGCCTCCCAGACTGGAAGGAGAAGGCCCTCAGGTAGGGCGCACCTTTCGGGCAGGGCGGGGGCACGGGGTCAGCTGATTCAGGACGACCTAGGTTGAGCTGCAGCCCCTCCAAGAGGAGCAGGCCCTCACACTCTGGTGTTGCCGCACAGAGACCAGCCTGGCCTGTGCAGACCGGTGGGAGATTCTGGTTTTAAGAGAGGAACGGCTGAGGGCCCCCGCCTCTCTGTTGGGGCCTCCTTCTGGGCCCCTCTTCCGCTGCCCTCTCTGGCGTTCGCTTCCTCGGCTGGGAGCGCAGGAGGAGCAGGAGGGGATGCCGGGGGGGGGGGGCGGGGGGGGGGGGGGCTCCAGCTTTGGGCTCCGGAGAGAGGTCACTTTTCTGGGCCTGCTCCTTTCCTTCCCTCTGGGGCGCTCCTAGCAAGTGGAGGAGGAGATGCGCTGGGCGCCCTTGAGCTTCTCTTGAGTCCCAGGCTCAGCCCCACAGGCCCGGCAGGAGGGGCGGCTGGCTGTGGAGGGGCGGGCGGCCTCTTGACCGGCATCCGGTGGCAAAGGGGTGGCTGGAACCATTGGTGGGAGATTGGAAACCCGGCTTGCAACTGGTGCAGTTATAGAAAGGCTGGATAGAGATCTCCCCCCCTCCCACCGGTGGGTGGCGGTGGTAGTGAGGGCTGCGGCTGGCGGGAGGGCTTGCTCGCCAGGCTTCGGACCCCCCATGGGAGCAGCAGCAGCAGCAGCCCCGATGCAGAAATTCCCAATTCTCCCTTCTGGAGCGCGGCAGTGCCGGGAGGACAGCTGGGCGGCCCGAGTGGGTCTCGGGGGGGGGGGGCAACCTGTTGGCAGCAGAGTCTCCAGCTGGAGATCCTGGGTGCCCGCATGCCCCTCTGGCCCAGGTTGGTGTGGGGCTGGCGCCTTTCCACGCAGGGTGGGAGCTCCCCTTTGCCCTCCTCCCTCAGTCTGCCCCCCCAGGCACCTCTTGGCCTTTGCCGGGTGAGGCCCCCCCAGCGGCATGGTCTGCTGGCCGTGGGGCTGGAGCAGCCTCCCAGAGTAGCTCCTCGGCAGCTGCCCCGGGCTTGTCCCCTGGGGCCTGTAGGTGGGCAGGCTTCTCCCCCCCCCCCCACGGGGGAAGTGACCGCTGGGGCAGCCTCGTCCAGCATCCTGAGGGGGGAGGAGAGGCAGCTGGCTCCTGATCTGATGGGGGTGGGGTGGGGGCTGCGCTGGTCACCCAGCCGGCAGCCCAGGGGAGATGCCCCCTCTGGAGGGAGGCCGCTGCCTGCTTGGAAAAGGCGTCTTTGGTCTCCGCTCTGCTGATCTGCCCCAGTGGCTGCTGCCGCTCTCTTCCCTGCACTGCCACCCGCCAGTTAGGAAGGTATTTATTGGCACTTCTAAATCGGGAGCCTCTTCCAGCAGACAAACCCCCCCCCCATCTGGGGAGGGGCTAGAAAGGGGGGCCTCTGGAGAGACTGGCAGGGGCCCAGGGCCACGGGGAAGAGCCTCTGGGGAGGGAGCAGAGAGCCGAAGGGAGGGAGGGAGGGCTGAGGGGTGGCTTTGAGAGCTGTGCATGCGACCTCCTTTGGGGGCTGAAGCCTAGCAGGTCGGAGGGGCTCGAGCCCTCCGGGAACCGCCCCATTTCACACAGAGAGCCCTGGGGGTGTCCATGGCGTCTCCCCCTCTTGGCTCCATTCTCTTTCAGCCTTTGGGCAGCGAAGCCCCCCTGCGCCCTTCCCTCCTCAAGGTGCCCGGAGTCCCCTGGAGGACTGGAATTCCCCCCAGACTGCGCTGACCCCACCGAGGAGGCCCAGGGATCTGCTCTCTGGCAGTCCTGGGCGGCTTTGTGGGGAGGGGCACCCAGTCCCTCCAGGGGGAAAGCAGCCAGGAACTTGCGGGCGGGGGTGGGGGGTGGGGGGTGGGGCTGGGGAGGACTTCCCTCTTGTGAGTCAGGTGGGCCTCAGCAAACCTGGGCAGGTGGCGGACGAGCCCCTTAACCCAGGCGGCCCGAAGCTTTTGACTGCAGTGCGGCACGTCTGCTATTCCACGCAGGAGAGGGAAGTCACGGCTGCACGTGCCGATCTCGGCCATAGAATAAATGACGACTGCCTACGAGGCAGCCGGGGTGGCGTGTTCAGCGCCCCCCCCGCCGGACTTCTGGCTGCCCTTCAGTGCAGGCTTGGAGGCAGAAACAACCCCCCCCCCCGCCCAAAGTTGTCCCAACCTCTAGCGGGCATCCAGCTGCCTGGTTGGGATGCTTCCTGGAGAGGATGGGTTGCAGTCGGTAGGAAGGACGGAGGAGGGTTTGCTTATTATTTGAAGTATTTTTTTAGCCGTCTCTCTTCTAACCATCTCAATCCAAAGTTGAAACAGCACTAAAAGTATAGAACCAAACCCACCCAAAGCAACAAAACCTGGTGCCAGATCAGTTCTGTTACTACTATCCGATGGCCTCCCAGTGCTGGAGGGAAAGCCAGGCCTTCGAAGGCCCATGGGAAGCAAAGGAGGCAGGAGCCTGCCATAGATGGGGGGGGGGGGGCAGAGGCTGCCACGGGAAAGGCCCCTTCCAAGCGCCCATGGGGTGGCCCTGTTTGGGGGACCAGCAGCAGGCCCAGGGCAGGGCAGGGCAGGCAGGGGGGCTGGCCCTGGGGGCACGTAGGGTTTTAAAGGTGAGGACCAACACCTGGAATCCCCCCCCCCCCAAAAAAAAAAACTGGAGGCAGAACCTCTCTCTGGCCTGGATCCTCCTAGCTGACCTGTGCCTGGGGGGGGGGGGGGAGTCTCAGAGTTTCATGGTGCCGAGAAACATCAGCAGAACTTTTGGATCCAAATAAAATTCCTTCTCTTGCCTACCAAAAAGAACAAATCTTTGGGGCAAGCAGAGCCCACTGGAAGACACCCCCCCCCCCCGGGCTGTTTTCTGGATTATGCTTTTCCTTTCTTGTTTTGGGGAGTTGGGATCTGTTAAAATGCGTTTGGCCCATTTGCACCTCCCAGGAGGCTTGGGGAGGAGGGGGCCTGCCCAGCTGGGAGCAGCCCTAGATCCCCTTTGCTAGCTCTCGGGGGGGGGGGCGCCCCTCCAGGGCTTGCTCATGGCAAGGGGAGGGGGCTCTGCTCAGCCTCATTGGCCGATCTCGGGCCTGTGTCCACCTTTGAGGTGGTGGGGGCAGGGCGGGTGGTTTGGGGTGCTCGGAAGCCCCTCAGGGCAAGAGGCCAGCAAGGGACCCATGTTAGCCTCTGGGGCTTTCCTGGAATGGATCTCACTTGTTCACTTCATCTATTTAAGCCGCAGACCCCTAGCGAAGAAGGAGAACAACGTTACGTGGGAAGGCAGCGATAATAAGGGAGGAATGGCAGAGGGTGATGGGAGGAGGCCTGCATTTCCCCCAGCACGGCAGCTGCCCCCGGGAAGGGACCGAGAGGCTGGAAGGGGGCCTCGGCTGGGGCAAGAGAAAGGGGGGGGGCGGCTCAGCCCGCTGTAGAGGAGGGAGGACCAGGCACCTTCTGGTCGCTTCTGAGGTCCTCCCCCCCTTGGCTCATCACGGCCCCCGGGTGCCTTTCTGGTGCCTTGGATTGGCCTGGCGGCTGGGTGTGCCCCCCCCTTCCCCCCCCACGAAGCCTCCTGTGACCTGCCTCGGCTCCTGTCTTCCCCCATCAGCTCCTGACTCCGGAGATGCCGCCCGAGGCGTATTTGTGCCACAAGCAAGGCGGAAAGGCTACAACCACGTTGTAAACAAGGCCGCAGGAACAGTGACACGCCTTCGTTTCCTGTAGTAGACCGGAGAGCATGAAAATTTAAAGCTGAGCATCTCAGTTTAATGGTCCAAAGAAAATTTTCCTGTTCCCTTGGTTGAGCACGAGAGGCACTTCGCCATAGAAGTGCAAGCGGCCACTTCCCAGCCAGCGCTTCCCCCTCCCCCACCCCTGTGTCTGAGGCAGAACCAGAAATGGCACTCTGCCTCTGTACCTCCCCCCGGGGAGAAAAAAGGGCCGTGGGGGGGGGGGGGGCGTGCCGCACCCCCTGCTGTGCTCCGTTCTGAGCCTAGTGGGCCTCCCTGCACTTACCTGGGAGCCACAACGGGGCTCCTGGACGGGGCGGGGAGGGGCAGTGCCAGCCAGCAATCCAACAGCTGGTTCGGCCGAAGTGGTGCGAACCACTTGAATCCCACCACTGGGCTTGTTTCTTCTGGCAAGGGGATGGCAGGGCAGGTTCCTAGGGCTGTGGCCGATGGTCTTTCCAAGGAGCCCATCCTGGCCGCCTCCCTGGTTCTGCGGCCAGCCGGAGGGCACTTTTGTCATTCCAGGGAGAGGCTGAAAGAGGCTCCTTTCCAGCTGGAGGGAGGGCGCCATGGCTGATCGAGTCCTTTCCAGATCGTTTCCCCTGTTAAATGACCGGCAGAACTGGGTGGCTCTGTTTCATTTGGTTGTGGCTGCTGCCGAGGATCGCTGTGTGAGATGGAGAGCCATAGCAGATCTTCTTTTTAAATCTTCAGAAAGTGCAAGCAAAATATGCTGCTACTTATGGTTGGGAAGTGGAGTGCCAAATTTGGAAATATTAAGGAGGAAAATATAGTTGGGCCGTACGGCCTAGGAAGCAGAAGTAAAGCAGGAGGAAGCTTTGTGGTTTAGGGCAGTTCAGTGACTTCTTTGTTGCTAGCACAAGCCTCCCAGCAGCCCCACGGCCTCTGCTGCTCTCTGCCTGGACCCCTTCAGATGGGTCCCAGGGAAATCGGACTGACAGTGTGGTCGGCTGAAGAGCCGAGTTCTCATAGCGAAGACGTGGCTAGAGGCTGCCTGTGGGAAAGGCCCCCAACTGCTCATCTCCAGGCTGCGTCCGAGTCAAGCCGAGGTGGAAGGAAACAGAGCCGCTGGCTCCACCGGATGAACTCGGCCGCACAGCCGCGGGTTGGAGGAAGAGCCTGGGAGTCGCTTGGAAGCCCTGAACCTCAGTGGCAGAGAACTGGGGGGGACGTGAGAAGAGACGGCCAGCCGTGTGTCCGTGGAACAAGCTGTGGAATTGAGGAGAGAGGCCAAAGCCAGGGAAGTCTC